AAAATTTTTTTTGTGGAGACAAGGTCTCACTATGTTGCTCAGGCTGGCCTCAAACTCCTGGGTTCAAGTGATCCTCCTGCCTTGGCCTCCCGGAGTGCTAGGATTACAGGCGTGAGCCACCATGCCCGGCCTCAAACGTTTTTTAAAACCAGTGAACTGTCTTGGACTGAGATCTGTGCAAGTCCCAGGTGAAAGGTGAAAATGGCAGCTTTGATTGAAAGGGGTGGGGTTGGCCCCCCCTCTGCCACCTCCAAACCCTGGCACTCAGAATCTGGAGCCCATCGATGTGGCCCCCTGCACTTTGCAGGCAGAGAAAGCTACACAGCCTGGCCTGTGGTGACACATAGTAAGGGGAGAACCACGGTCTCTGCTTGGGGACTTCTGGCTTCCGCCAGGGTTGGCTCCGGCCTGGTGTTGGGGGGCCCAGAGGCTGCCGAGGGGTGCAGGAGCTGGGGCTCGTACAAGGGGCCGGCCCTAGGCAAGTATAGCACAGGCCACTTAGTTCCCTCCCCTGCTATGCCCTCCTTTTGCCCTTTACACTCCACATTCAAGCTATTGGCGATCCTATTTTCTCTACCTTCAAAAGAAACCCCAAATCTGGCCCCTTCCACTGTTCCCACACTGGGTACCACCCTGGTCTGGCTGCCAGCATCTGCCTCACGAACTTACAGCCGTCTCTCAGCCCTCGCCTCTTCCGTCTGTTCCTCACATGGCCGCCAGAGGGCAGCGCTCCCCACTTACGGCACCTCCAGTCCCTCCTCTGCTCTGACCACTCCCAAACTCCTTTCTCACCCAGGGAAAAAGCTGAAGTGCTTGCCATGCCCCACAAAGACCCTGCAGGATCCCCTTCACTCACTGACGTCGCCTCTTCCCACTCTCCCCCTCGCCCACTCACTCCAGCCACATTGGCCTCTTGGCTATCCCTTGAACATACCCCGCCTGCTTCTGCCTCAGGGCCTTTCCACTGGCTGTTCCTCTGCCTGAACACGCTTCCCCCAGATCTCCAGTCTCCTTCCGTACCTCCTCGTCTTTGCTCAAATGTCCCCTCAGTGAGGTCTTCTCTGACCACCTTATTTAATCCTACAACCCCCTTTCCCTGTTCCCCACTCGCACCCACTCACCCAATGCTTACCCTGTTCTACTTTTTTTTTTTTTTTTTAAAGAGACAGTGGCTTGCTCTGTCACCCAGGCTGGAGTGCAGTGGCACAATCATAGCTCACTGCAGCCTCAAACTCCTGGCTTCAAGCGATCCTTCTGCCTCAGCCTTCCGAAGTGCTCTGATTACAGGTGTGAGACACCGTGCCCAGCCTGTTCTACTTTAATAGCCATTATCACCTCCTTACCTCCTACCATACTTACAAATATAACACCGCTTGTTTATTATGTTTGGTGTTTACTGCCTGCCCTTACTGGGACGTGTATCCCCAGGGGAGCTCTATCTTGTCCACTGCTGTATGCTCAGAGCCCAGTACAGGGCCTGCCACGCACGCGTAGTAGGGTCCAGTGAATACCCACGGGATGGAGGAATGGGTCAGGCTCCAGCCACAGAGCTTTCTGGCTGTGAGACGCTGGCTCAGTCCTGCTTCTGCTAGCTGCCAGCTACGTGACCTTGGGTGAGCACTGTGGGATGGGGCCTCACCCACCGGTGACAATGGCTCTGCTATGCCTCACCCAAAGCCTGCTGGTGAAGGTTACGTAAGAGCAGAAGAAACACACCTGGATGGCCACTCCCTGGGGCCCAGCTCCCAGCTCCCTCTCTCTGTCTCTATTTCCCCATCCACCC